CATAGGAAACTATGGCGTCACAAAAATCACATGATGCCTGACGTCATGTGCTACATTTTGTGACATTCGATTTTTCTTCTGCTTATTTAGTTGAAAAATTTCTGGCAAAACTGGGGGTGGGGAGCTGAAGGATAAAACTCAAATTAATTATTAATGTTAGATATCTGAAAAGAATTTAAATGTCTATTTTGAAATATTCCAAAAGTCTAATGTCAGTATCTATCTTTAGTGGAAAACTTTCTAAGGAAAACTGTCGCATATTTATATCCTACATGGCAAAAACCATAAAAGGTCCCATTCAGCAGGATTTGAATACAGATCAAGCTACCAGTTTTTAGCAATCTTATCTGCTTGCTTGTTGGTAGGCTTAAAATAAATTAGTAATTTGAATCAAATTTAAATTACTTAATATATCTGTGTAAAAGTATAAGGTTGTTTCCCCCTCATTGTATTGCATAAAATAAAATATAGTCTGGATTACATTTTATGTAATCTATATTACGTGTATTATGTAAAATATGTGTAATATAATTTACAGTAAAAGAAACATATACCTATATTTTTGTGAAAATATATATATATGAAAACACTTTTCTGTCACTAAAGAAGTATTGAAGTAAGAACACTGAGACATAGAAATGTAGAAATATTGTTTGACGTAGAAGGTAGATCCATACTGAAGAGGAAGAATTTTGATTGCATAGAATGCTAATCCATAATGAATAGGAAACTTGGCAGTCAAGGCAGTTTAAATTCCATTTTTATTTAAATTCACATTTATGGCCACGGTTTTCTTTGCACTCTAATTGTGCCTATTTTCCAGAACATTTACATTTTTCAATACTATTGTGATACGAAGAGAGCACAGCGTAATTGCTTCCAGGCAACAGAGAGGGTGAAGCTAAAAGTGATGCATTTATCCAATGTGGCAGCTCACCAAGAGGAAGGTTTTGGTTTAGGTTAGAAAAGTTTCAGTTCTGAGAGATTAAGTTCCAAATTAACTATGTTGTAAGTGTTATGCAAGCTCTAGAATAGATTTATCTAGAAATGACGTAGTCCAGAAATTTAAAAAATTGAGGAATTAAGAGGCTATAATTAAATTAAATTATAAATCTTATTTACATATTTTTTTATCTTGCATATATATATTTAATCTAATGTTAACTAGACTAGAAATATGCAGCTTTTAGATAAAGTGTTTACAAACTTTTTTTTTTAGTTCATAATTTTGATATTCAGTGGAAAAGGTTTTTTTTACCCCACTTATTAGTATCTTTGCCCAGTCAGTTAATTTTTTATGTGTTATTTTGCAAGTTGGTATTTTTTATTGTCTAGTTAGAATTTTTTATTTATTCTGTGATTCTGTTTATACATCTCGTCTACAAAAGTTTTTATTATTATTATTTCCACAACTCTTGGTCATAGACATATACTTTTAATTAATGTTTTAAATGGTGCAAAAATTCAGGTTTTGGCATTTTTCAATTTAAAGAAAGTAGTTTTGTAAAAATTACAAAATCTATCATTCTACACAGCTGCCCAGATAATATAGTGGTTGGGGAAGCCAACTATGATACTGAAGGGCCTGAATTCGAATCCTGGAGAAGGCATGGATGTAAATTGTCTATCTCCTTATAGGAGGTAATGGCAGCCACCCGTTAGGTGCCTCCATAATAAAATGACCACCACTTCTGACCTTAGTAGTGACGGAAACTTAAAAATGCCTAGTCCCTATCATATATATGTATATTTAATTTTACATCTTTCCAGTCCTTAGGAAAATTGTATACTCATCATAAAAATAAAACAGGAAAAGTTTGTCTCTCATACAACAAAAATTGACTGATATTCATTAAGAAAACACATAACATTTCTATGCAGATTAGTGTAAAAAAAATTGAGCAGTCTATATGATATATTATATTATATATATATATTTTTTTTTTTTTTTTTTTTTTTTTTTTCCTCAGCAAAGGAGAGATAGAGTTTTACAGAATTTATGCTGTAAAAAAACACTGGGCATGCTTCAGTATTGGCACTATTCTCATAAAATTATTTGCATTAATTAAGAATGAAAAAATATTTTTACTTGAATGAATTTTCTCTAAATCATTACTGGATTCTGATTATAAAGTAATAAAATTTGATCAGAATATTAATAACATATTTTTAGACTCTTAAAATAAATTCTATTATATAATATAATTAAACTCTTATAAATTCTTGTGCGAAAATTCTTTTGGTATACCATATGTAATAAAATTAAAATAAAGACACTAGTAAATCACAAAAGAATGTCATTGAATGGCATTTAAGGGGGGGAATATCAACCTGGAATTATACTAATTTATTTATTATATGACACCTCACTGCAAAATCAAGTTAAAAATATAAAAACATGAATTTTTGCATTATTTAAAACATTTTTGTAATAGGAGGCATGTGTCTATAACTAACATTTGCGAAAATAAAAGCCAGGTAAGAAATTTTGTAAACTTGGTGTATGAAACATGCCAGCGATTGCACAATGTACAAAAAATAAATAAATAAATAAGTAAAATAAAATAATGCCTACTAAAGTGTAGTTGCTTAAGTTTTTGTTGAAGAATGATTATAGTAAATGCTAAATGTGTTTAATATTTTTATTTGTATTCCCTACAAAATTACTTTTTGTATTCTGTTTTTCAGAATAATATTCTGTATAATTAGAAGGCTTTTGTTTATTCTTGTGGTTCTGCATAGATAGAGTGTGACAGTGACAGTGTTGCCACAAAAGAAGTAACAGCTCTAAAAGTTTTGTGTTACATAAATTTTTGTTGGTAAAAGTTTCAGTAGTTGCTAAATGTATTGTATCTTTTCTTCTTTCCAAATTTTCATGAAAATCTGGAAGATCATAGTAACATCATTATTTCAACAGCTTAGATTTTTGTTGGTGAATCTGATAATTTTTTGTCTTGATGTAGCTTGCGAAATGAAATTCCATTTGAATAGAGTCTTGTCTAGAATATTAGGTGCACAAAGCTATTCTCATACCTTGTAAAAAGACACAGCTGACTGACAGTATGAAAACAGAGTGGTATTTCAGGAGCTCACTTAACAGCATTATGTTATAAATGTTCAGCTTTAATATTTTCAGTATGTTGTACAGTTTGAAGCGACATGCCAGACTATGAAACCATAATTTGAATCTACATCAAAGGATCAACTGCAAGTTTATAGCATAAATTCATCGTTCTCGGTTGTCTTAAAGTGTTCAAATTTACCTGCAGTATGTTTAATGATGGTTTTAGGAGATTCAAGATCTCAACTGTTAATCATTCAAAATAACCTTGAGATGATGATGCATAATAATAAATTATGAATGTGCTTTTTCTTTTCTTTCTATGGCTTTTCAATGAACAGCTAAATTTAAATAAAAACAATTAGAACCTGTATGCTGTAACTGCTGTAAAATTGTTTTTACATTTAGACATGATTATAACAATCCTCAAGCAAAACTTATTTGGATGCCTATGAAACGTGAACTTCAGATTGCACTTTTAGATACTTTTCTGTTAACTGGGTGCCACTAAGTGCAAAACACTGGCACGAAATCTAATTCGATAGCAGCAGCCCTGATGATACATAAAGCTTCATGGGGAAAAAAAGAACTTATAATAACAGTAATGTATCATATATTGCGTATTCAATGAAAGCTGAGCTATCTGGAAATGCTAAATGTTAAATAGGTTAACATTCCAGATAGTTGAATGTATAAAATTACAGGTCATAGTAGAAAACCAAATGAATGGAAGAAGCAGTAAATAATCCAAAATTATGAAAATTCGTTTTGATTCTTATCAACTGGAATATCAAAAGTCTATTACTAAAATTATGTAAGTTTCTTTTTGGGGGGATTGGGGGGGCAAGCATTTCAAGCATAAATGTTGACATATTTCATAAGCTTTAAAAATGGGCATTTTATCTGATTAGAAATCCTACTGAACCATTAAAGTTGGTGGAGACATTGCGAAATATGCAGTAATCATTCAAATGGATGTTTAAATGAACAAATTAATTATTTAGTTAGATAACCAAGAGATACAAGTTACATATGTACAAATGCTGCAAAAACATGATGTATGTTAATGGTTAGTAGGTGGGATTAGGATAAAAGCAGGTGTAGCTATAGTTTTATACTTCAGGCTGTTAGAGAGTGCAAATGAAGTTTATACAAACATTAAAAGTACTTTCTTATAAAAATAATTTTTTTAAATATTCTTTTGGTTCTAAATCGATATTATATAACAGCTTAGTTCTTTCAGTAATAACTTCCTAGATATTGTCTTAAGGTGTGGTCAATAAAAATGTCACAAGAAATTGTGTGAGATTCCAAAACGTCCATGGAGTGAAGAAGATTGGCCTAAGCATGGTAGGATGTACCAGCTCCCTTTTATAAAGCCTGTAATAAAACCAAAGTGATAATCTTGTGACCGATTGTTTCATGAAGTCAAGCTTATCTCTTGGTGCTACGTGTTTGGTGACACTGTGCTGGATATTCTTTATGGTGATTTTGATAGATTTTTGTTTGCTTGCTTTTTTGGAAAGAGTAGGAGTTTTTAAAATTTTAAAATGTTCCAGTTACTTCTGCTTTCTGCTTAGTTGAATGCTGGTTAATTGGCCTTTTCCTTTATGTAATGTTTAATCTGCATTGCTTAATCTGTGGATGATACCGAATTTGTGCTCTGAGGTGAGTACCAACTCATTAACAGAAAAGTATTGCATTTTCAGTGCCACGCTCAGTATATTTAGATATTGTGTAATCTTGGTGTTAAATTAGAGCCGCTTATCTTGAATTTTGTTTGTTTAGTTATTTTATTCTGTTTTGCATATTATTTTTCATAATTTTAATTTTTTATTTATATAATTTTGGTTCTTTTTTAACTTTATTATTATTTGTTAATTTTATTTTATTATTTTCTTCCTCTTCTTTTTATTTGAATATTCTGTGCTTCAATCAGGGTCAAACTTTAGTCACCACATAAGCAACAACTTCGAGACTGTGTCCAGTATTCCGCTAATTCCCTTTGTAGGATCTGGATCTCTTCCAACATCATGCATCCCTGACTACCGATGACGAGAGCTACGTCCGCACTGATGACGATGAAGATGGAGGCAACACGGACTGGGAAGAAACCATGCGACGTTGGGTGAACCGTTAGAATACCTGCAGTTAAATCATTTCTACTGTGCTTCAACATCATATCATGAGACGAGGCAGCTAGCTCTTTCATCAGGTTCAAAAAGTGCCATACAAATGCATCATGGCCCACACATAACAAAATTTGTTCATCATGTAAAAATAAAATTGCAGAATTCTGCTTGTATAAATAATTTTGGCCCTTTGTATGCAGCTTTTTAATCATTCTATGATAACTGTCTTTCTTTTATTTTTTATAGAATTACTTGTCAAATGACTTTTTTGAGAACTGTTAAAAAAATTGATTTCTTAATTATAAATTATAGCTTTCACATGATTTAGGAGATGAATAACAGTTGTGATTTTGAGCAGTGGATTCACTATTCATTTGCATTTCATTTAAGTGAAAATATATGGTGTTATGAACATTTATCTATTTCTCTACCAATAAATTGGTATAAATTTTGATAATTTATTATTTAAACTCATTCATAGTAGCATTTTAAGTCTTCTTCAATTTTTTGAAGAAACACCAGCATTTTTGCATTTAAAATGTATTGTTATGTCACATGTAAACTTTTGTAAAGTCTTATGTTGCATATATCAATATAAACTGTACTTAACTTTAGTTTATTAAAGGTAGATTTTTTTAATTGCATTACAAGATAATTTTATATCAGTATTTTAATATCATGAAACATCCTAATCTTTATATACTTCTGAAAATGCTGAATGTTTTTCTTGTAATGCTATGTATCTTCTTCTTTTCCCCCCTAGTATTGCAAATTTTTCATTATATAAAAGGAATAACTTCTGTAATTGTAATGAATCACTGATACATAGTTTGTCATATTCTTCCTATTAAATGGTGAAAGTGTTGTATCTTATTATGTGATAGCCCCACAAGATACATAACAGAAATATTACTTAGTGATTTTAATCTCTTCTTACTATCATCTATTAATATGCATCACGTTGGGAAAATTTCAATCCTAAGAAAATATTCCGAATGCTGTCCTGCTATATTAGCCTTCATTAGATGATGAATTTCTAATTCATTTGAATTTGTTCCCTTCTGTCTTTACAAAAAAGACTTGATTTTATCATTCCTTCAATTCAGTCATCTATTTAATTTAAATGCATTAACTTTGCAGTTAATAATATTCACAACATTTTACAAACAGTACAAGTACATTGATGAAGTAAGTCTTCTCAGGGATACATATTAAAAATCGCATTTATATAGAGCTTCCAAACATATATATTTTTCTATTAAAGATGTGTGTAGATTTTACTTTCAAGGCAAACATTGTTTTATACATACTTTTTGTTAATTTTCTAAATGAACTGCTTTCATCAAAAGTTTATGAAAAAAAAAGCTGCTTAAAAATTTAAATATCCTTTAACCTAAATGAATTTTTTTTAAATACCATATGCATATGCAATAAATGTAAGTGATATTCACTGAATGTCTTTATTTTGTGAATAACGTATTACTTATATATGAAATGTGGAACTTGAATTTAGTACTTTAAAATCTCAAGTAAATGAATTTAGAAAACTTGAAAAAACAGATAAAAAGGATAGTTTATATACTTTAAAGAATTATATATAAACTTTATTATTAAACTTATTAATTTTAATGTATAGAAATGGTGCTATGTTATCTTATCATTTCAGTTTCACTCCCAAATGTTACCCTATTGTAGTATGTTCTTTTTGTTTTATTAATTTATTTTCCTCATATCCTATTGCTAAGATTTGTGTTAAGCAGAATAAAGTGTTGCTAAATACAGAAAAATTATCAACAACTGCTTTCATTTCAGTTTTATGCTTCATATCATACTCAATTGTTTCAAAATATAAGAAAAATTGAGCTTTTAAGGCTTCAAAATTATATTTTATTGATTGAATAATTTAACATATCATAATTTAAGAGTTAGATTAAAGTATGCAAGTATGTATGCAACTTTTCTCTGAAACTTCATTTGGAAAACTTTTGAGTTGTAGAATATTTACAAGATTATCAAATGATTCAAATCAGAGTTTTGAAAATGCTATAAATATGTCCTTAAGTTTGACTATATCAAAACGTCAGATTTAATTATCTGATAAGATTTCCACACCTTTGCTTTAAAAAAGTAAAACATATATATATACAGGGTGATTCTAAATTGTTTTTAAAAATTAAGAGAAGTGATAGTACTCATCCAGATAATCAATAATTACCATAGGACAGAGGGTCGCATTCCACTCTGAGAGGCAGAAAATAGGAATATTAGAATTCCAACCTTAACTTAAAGAGTGTTGGGAGAGCAAATCATCAAGACCAAAAGTTGCACAATCAGTTTAGTGAAAAACTCACAGAGAGTGCACAAAACGGATAAAACCGAAAACTTGGCGTTCAAGCGTTAATTCGAACTCAGACTTTGATGGAAACACTCAAATGGACATCTTTGGTTGGCAAGGTCTCAACCCTCACAAACAATTGCAACAAGTTAATTATCTAATCAAAGGCTGAATATTCTCAACTAACTCCAACTTCTGTATGCCGAGATTAGCATGAAAGGTTCACACTGTGTTCTGGCTGTCAGAACTTCGTGTCTCATAGAAGGGCACTTCAAGTAAAATGAGTGCAGCACAGTCCAAGAAAACACATCTTCTGTCCTGTATTCCCACACATCTTCTGTCCAGGAAGACAGGACAGAAGATGGCGAAGGCAAAGGAGTAAAAAACTGCTTACTTGATATTCGATATCACCTTGATACTTGATATCAAGGTAGCAGTTTTTTTCCCCTAATAGATAGTTTTTCCCTAAAAATTTAGATAATTAACTGGTTGCAATCATTTGTGATGATGAGACCTTGCCAACCAAAGATGTGCATTTGAGTGTTTGCCATCAAAGTCTGAGCTCGAATTAACACTCGAAAGCCTTGTTTCCGGTTTTATCTGTTTTGTGCACTCTCTGTGAGTTTTTCACTAAACTGATTGTGCAACTTTTGGTCTCGTTGATTTGCTCTCAACACTCTTGTAAGTTCAGGTTGGAATTCTAATATTCCTCTTTTCTGCCTCTCAGAGAGGAATGCGACCCTATGTTCTATGGTAATTATTGCTCATCTGGATGAATACTATTACCCTTCTTAAATTTATAATCACCCTGTATAATCATTATAGAATTATTTTGTGTTTTTTTATATTTCATATGCCAAAAAATTCATTTCTAATGAAAGTGGCTTTAGGAAATATGTAGAAATAGGCTGATTTTTAGCAGCTATATTCGTTTTATTACTTTCAATTCTTTATTGAAAAATAAATTCCCCCCACAAGACTTCTGTTAAGTATTTAAATTATTTTAATAAGTACAAAATAAATATGGGTAATATTTTTCTGTAATGAACTTTTAAAGCTTTTGCATGCAAACTTTATTAAAAAAATCAAAAAATTTATTTAAAATAGTGATATGTTACTGCTGCCTATTTCTTATGAAAACAAAGACCTTTGGAACTATTTTGAGATGTTAAAATGAAGTTTGAGATGAATGGAAAGGGTTAATTGCAGTTTTTGAAACTTATTTTTTGTCAGTAAGTAAACTGGTGCTGTGTAATTAAAAAAAAAATCATGGTTATTTTGCATTTTATTTTTATTTTCGTCACAGCTATTTTTAAGGTAGATTATTATTTTTAATCATTTACACATCAGACTTTTGTTAACATTTTATAGATTTTTGCTCATATATCAGTTTTTTTACGTATTAAAATGCTGCATACAATTTAGTTGTTATTTGTGTTCTATTTTATGCTGTGATAATGCTGCTATAAAATTGATCAAAGTGCTAATAATCTACAACGAAAATAAGTGTCTATTGAAATCCCGTCAAATTTTTACTATGTATAAATAAATAACAAAGCATTAAATACGGAACTTTTTGTGCTAAAAGGGCATTGTAGGAAATTAAATAGCAAATCTAATTAATGTTAATAAATAAAATGAGTATAAAATGTGAACATATCTTCTATTATGTTTTTACTTCTATTTTGAAAATCTTTTACCTTATTGTATTTTACATTTGTTTTCTGTAGAAAATCATCATAAATGCATATTGAAAGAAACTTATTAAGCAGAAGAATCATGTTTGTGTATTTGTTGTTTTAGTAGTCATTCAGATGACATGAAATGGATAACATTATTTATTGTTTGATTATTTTGATTTTTTATACAGATGTTTAACATGGTTAATACGAAACTTTTTGTGCTAAAGGGGCATTGTATGAAATTAAATACCAAATCTAATTAATGTTAATAAATAAAATGAGTATAAAATGTGAACATATCTTCTATTATGTTGTTACTTCTATTTTAAAAATCTTTTGCCTTCATTGTATTTTGCATTTGTTCTCTGTAGAAAATCATCATAAATGCATATTGCAAGAAACTTAAGCAGAAGAATCATGTTTGTGTATTTGTTGTTTTAGTAGTCATTCAGATGGCATGAAATGGATAACATTGTTTATTGTTTGATTATTTTAATTTTTTATACAGATGTTTAACATGGTTTTGTTGACATCTATTTGTCAACAAAAAAACAAAAAAAAAAACTCTGAAATTAAAATTTAATTTTCTTTAAGGACATGAATATTTATGACTACTGTTACTTGTCATAATAAATATTTAAACCAGTACCTTCATTAAAAATATGTTATGCTTAAGCAATAAACCCAAATGATTGACTAAAGTATTCCAAATTTGGATAAAACTGAATCAAGATCACATGTAATTAATAATATTTATGTGCTTATGATTGCTATCTTATGTAACATTTTGCATTCTTCATTATCTCTTTTGTACTGGGATCAGTACTTTAAATCTCATTAATATCTGTCTTATCATTTTTGTTGGTCCATTTGGCATAAATCTGTAATTCATTTAATTGATTGGTAAAATGAATTGCTCAAATTTATGAACTGATATTTCAGTGTCTTTTTAACTACTGAAATTCATGTGATGGTTGTTCATCATTATAGTTTCTTAAAGCATTTAATAAAAGTTATCTTTTCTTCTTCTTCTTTTTTTTTTTTTTTTTTTTTTCAGTATTCTTAATATCATAGATAAGTTATCTAAGATTCTAATATTTGTTTATTTTATGTTATAGTTTATCTTAGGTAAGCCATCTAAAGATTTTCACATTATTTATCTTTATGTTATAATATTACTGTATCTGCATTTTGTATCAGAACTTCAGTTTGCAGTTTTTAGATATGTACAATTGTGCTCTTTCTTGATTATTTTAAATTTTCTCCTGGTTGATGAGTTAAAATAATCAGGAAAAGCATAATTTAGGTATCATATTAAGAGTTTAGGTGTTTTATTTTAAACAAATTTTGAGAAAAAATTTCTAATATGTGCTTAACATTAACATAATGCATATATTCTGCTTTCACTATTTTTTTAATGGTAAATATTTTAAATTTACCTTTAAAAAATAGTGAAAGCAGAAACCTTATCTTAATATACTTGGAAAAGGGGCAAAATGTAAATAGCAATGTTTTCTCATCTGTTGTCAAAGATATAAAATATCAGGTGTTTTTATTATTAAATGTAAAATATTACGTTAAGAAAATTCTATGTATAATTTTCTTTTAAATTTTGTAAAAAATAAATTGCTTGATTTCTAAAGCTTTATTATTGCAGTTAAAAAAAATCATTGCAAATAAACATACAGCTGCCTATTTTGGTCTTCTGCGGAGTTGGTTTCTTGGAGAGGTAATGTTCTGTAATGATGTTTCCAGAAGCACTGGTCATTTTTAAAGCTGGTCTTCTTAGGGAGATGGAGACGTTAACTTTACCTTTCCTAAAATTCATTAAAAACAAACTGTGTAAAGACATTTATTACTAATGTTTTTTATACTTTACTAGAAAACCTTTTTTATTAACTTCTGCCATCGTAATTTATAGAATATTATATAATGTGAAATCATTTTAAAACTTACTTTCATTACTTTTTGGAAGGCTATTCAATTTCGCATGTTACGCTGCTAATCTGTTCCGTCATACATAAATGAATAAATGTACTGTTTTTTACAATTTCTGATACTTGTTGATTTAAATAATTTTGTAAATTTGTATAATACTTTTATCTGCTAAAAATAGAGGTATATTGTTACATTATTATTTTGGTATGCAAAAAGGAATCATATTAGAGATTTATCATTTTAGAGATTTTTTTTTTTTTTTTTTTTTCTAAGATGTTGGCAGTTTTTCAGTCAGGTTATTTTCATTTCTTTGTTCTTTTTCTAACGAAAGATAATTTTTATATCCAATAGAAAATCTTGTGAAATAGAGAAGGTTGTTTGTGTGAGCTGTAGAGAGTTTTTATCATATCATGTACATGATTTTGTGATGTAATCAAAGTGTTCAGTCCACCCAACTATGCAAATGGTAGCATTTTTGGGTGAGTTGCATGTTTGTCCTGTAGTTCATGGTGTGCAGATGTTTCTAACTTTGTGACACTTTCATTGTTCTTTTCTTTTTTGATATTGGTGAACTGAAAATCATTGACAGTAAATCTGAATATGTTTCCATTTGACTAATTACAGGTAGAATATCATAGAATTTTATTTTATTTTATTTTTAATAAATGCAGTAATTGGTTTCTTATTGGTCTTTTTACTGGAGATTGTCAACATAGCTCATGGAAAGCCTGAAGCACATCTCCCACCTTGTGTATGCTGCTGCATATATTTGTCATGTTGTATTTATAATTATTTTCGTAATGTCTACAGTTGACTTTGAAGTGTTACAGTGATAAAAAAAAGAGAAGGTTTAATTTATTGACTGATTACATATGTTAATGAAATTTTAATTTTATGAGATGTATTGAATAAGTATAAAACCCATTTGTTTCCTGTTTTTCCCCCTTTAGGTAGCGTTTTTGATTTTACATTTCACATAGAAATGCATATTTTATAAGGAAAATAAGTTAATTTCTCTGAATTACGTATAGAAACAGCAAGTCTTGAAATTGTTTATTTTGAAGTTTTGCCATATGTAAATGATTTTAAGTATCTACATTCATAGATTTATTATGTAAATTAAAGTGAGCATTAAAATTTTTTTGAAAATGTCTAAATTGCGAAAACTTTAAACACACTCATTAAAGATTCCAGGAAACTGTTAATTAATTTAAAATTCATAAACAAATAAATTTTTGTAATTGTGATTATATCAAAAAT